GCAACTACACATTAAATCCAGGAGCATTACCTTGAAAGCATTTTCTTTAGCAAAATTTAAGATCAGGTCCCGTCTTTCTCGAGTTGTGTTGGTCGCATCAAACACCTACCAGAAAATGAGTAGCAATGAGCAAGTTTATCTAAAGTTTTCAAACCAGCCCCAAATCATTTGGGATTACAGTGAGGTCCCCAGACACAGTGGGAAGCTTTGAACTACCCAGATGTAAAAGCACATTCAGTCCAGAGAAGCCTTACAGCTATCTGCCCGCACTCCTCCAGGAGATAAGCCTTCACGTCTTCCAGAGCCACCAAGGCACATCGTCTGCAGGAGAGAAACATGCATCATCAGAGCTGACGCCAGGTGCTCAGATGGCAAAGATTCTGAACCACGGGGACAGATTTCAGTACCTCTCTCTGCCCACTCCTGCACCCTTCCAAGCACCCCTGGGACTCTGCCGAGATCATAAGGATCCGCATCCATAACCTACTTCCTATTTCATTCATCACCAGGCGTTTGCAGTCCCTGCTCTTTGCGCCAGCCCAAAGCCAGTGACAAAACTCCCCCCCACAGCCGCTCTGGCAGGCTCCCTACGCAGGCTGCGCTGCCTCCTCCCTGGGTTCCACAAGCATTAAATGCTATTTTGTGCTCCTCAAATGCAGAAACTGTCAAGACCTGAGGCTAACCAGACCACTGCAGATTGGCCAGGCCCCTGATGCTGACTTACTTGCGGATTTCCATGGCTTCTTTGTTGTCATGCCTGAAGAAGTCATAGGACTTGTAAGACTTCACTGCTTCCCGGCGATACACCCCTAAATTAAACACTTCACACACAAAAGACGAGCATGTGACACTGACGGCATTTCATAGACAGATCTCACGGCGCTTTCAGGGCTATCCCCAGCGCCAGGGCCCACCCACGCACCTTTGGTGGGCACCCCAATCCAGTTGAGGTAGCGGGTGAGCTTCTTGGACACGTAGGTCTTGCCGCGGGCGGGCAGGCCAATCATCACGATCAGCGTCGGTGAGTTGGTCATGTAGGAAGCCCATGCTGGCAAAAAAACCCAACCCAGGAGCATCAGAGCATCGCAGAGCATCCGGGAGCAAAGAGCCCCAGCCCAAAGCCATCCCTGGCACAAAAATGCTCTGTCTCTCGGACGGACCGACATCGTGCATCTCCTAACAGGCTCGCTAGCATGTCCTCGCAGGTAATTAACCACTACAAGTCACAGCTGGACCACTCTGTGGTCTCCCAGGCGTTAGCTGATGAAGCAGATTAGTAACGGTGTGCCCGCTACGACTAATGGGGCTAATATACATCTTTTAGCGTTAAAAATATTTACCTACTGGGCAGGTGTTGTCAAGGTCAATAAGGAAGATGTTTTACCAAAACGGTCACGTTCTCTCAAATAGCCGAAGCAAGCTCAGAAGATGTCCAGGGAGCGGCAGGTTTAGGGGGAAAACAACCCAGAAGGCTGCTGACGGCATCCAGGAGATACCGGAACGAGCGGGCGGGAGGTTGCTGCGCCGGGCCTCACGGGAGGGGAGAAACCGGCGTGGCCGGGCGGGACGGGAAGGGCACCGGGACGGGCACGGAAAGCGCGGCCCCGCACAGGATAGAAACGCGTTATAAGGAAGACGCGTGTTTTTTTAAGCAGCACGAGCAGCATCATCGCTCTAATTATGTTTTGGTTTTTTTTCTCTTAAATAAATTAAATGCGCATTTTTTTCCCGCCCCCC